ACACCCATTTTTCTGTTGCTTCCTGTCTGACACTCACAGTCTAAGCTCTGTGGCCAAGGGGTGTCTCGCTCTGTCTGGAGCACATGTAGCAAAACCCATGTTGCTTCCCTGTGGCTCGTTCCAACAACAGTAGCCTTGACGCTGCAGAGTTATGAGCTGGCTAACTGCCGAAGAATCTAGGGTCTCCATGCCATTGGACAAGTTGGGTTTCGCTGCTACGGGTACCTGTGCTAACTGGGGCATGCCGACACAAGCTGTAAGCACACTTCCAGTTGCAGTGCAAACAAACCTATCCTTTCCGCACCAAGCCACCATCCCCCTCCTGCCCAGACGCGGGTGGCTGCATTTCAGGGGTGGGTGAAGTCACTCTGCTCTGGGATCCTCCTGGCTGAAAGGCAGACGTGCACTTCCCCCTCTGCCGTGGCGAGAGGCAGAGAGGAGGCCCAGTTCTAGACATGGAAAGCTTTGTCCTATAAATGCAAGTTGTACTTCTCTGCATGAAGCTGTAACCTTCACCGTGAATTTAAATTTTACAGGATTTGGAGGCAAAACCCGCCTCTTCTCATCCTTCACCTACAGTCCCGCACCCTGTAGGAAAAGTCCCTTCAGCTAACATTTAGGTTGAGGGGTGGGTGCCCAAACTGTGGTATCTTTTGTCCCAGGGCTGAAGTTGATTATCCCATCCTGCACTCCATGGCACCAAGCACAGTATAAACAATTGAACCACGTAACAAATTAACGCGTAGAGGCGACACATCGAGCCTGACTGGTTTTCCAATAAGTTAGGAGCCCTGCTTAATGCTGGCTGGGATTAGAGATGTCCTTGCTTTATCTCAAGGACTGTATAACTAAAAAGCCTCTCTTGAATTGTATCTACGGGGCACGCTGGGTTTAATCCTTTGCTTTGTGTGTGTGTTTCCCCCCTTCCTCCAGAACCATGTGAGGAACCTCGCCAGGGCAAGGGACACCTACAGGGAGCTTGGAAGTTCACCTTCCCCTTCTCTTTACTACTCTGCCCCAGGATGGATCAGAGGAAAAACTGGCCTCGGATGCTGGACTCCGATGGCTGGTCAGCAGCTGTGTTGTTTCTCTTTTTGGTCGCACTTTCCCGGCACGCAGCCGGGACTGTCCTGTTCAACACCTTCCACTCCGAGAACCGTGACTGGACTTTCAACCACCTGACCGTCCACCAGCGCTCTGGGGCAGTCTACATTGGAGCCATCAACCGGGTATACAAGCTGTCCGGCAACTTGACAATGCTGGTGGCTCACAAGACTGGCCCGGAGGAAGACAACAAGTCTTGCTACCCGCCCCTCATTGTCCAGCCTTGCAGCGAGATCCTCACCATCACCAATAACGTGAACAAGCTGTTGATCATCGACTACTCGGAGAACCGGCTGCTGGCCTGCGGGAGCCTCTACCAGGGCGTCTGCAAACTGCTGCGGCTGGACGACCTTTTCATCTTGGTAGAGCCTTCCCACAAAAAGGAGCACTACCTCTCTAGCGTCAACAAGACGGGCACCATGTACGGGGTGATCGTGCGCTCCGAGGGCGAGGACGGCAAGCTCTTCATCGGCACAGCGGTGGACGGGAAGCAGGATTACTTTCCCACCCTTTCCAGCCGCAAGCTGCCGCGGGACCCAGAGTCATCGGCCATGTTGGATTACGAGCTGCACAGTGACTTTGTCTCATCGCTCATCAAGATCCCCTCGGACACGCTGGCCCTAGTCTCACACTTCGACATCTTCTACATCTATGGGTTTGCCAGTGGCAATTTTGTCTACTTCCTGACCGTGCAACCCGAGACCCCTGAGGGAGTCTCCATCAACTCAGCCAATGACCTCTTCTACACGTCCCGCATTGTCCGCCTCTGCAAGGATGACCCCAAGTTCCACTCCTACGTCTCGCTGCCTTTTGGCTGTGTCAAAGGGGATGTGGAGTACCGCCTCCTGCAAGCAGCTTATCTCTCCAAGCCAGGGGACGTACTGGCCAACGCCCTCAACATCACAGCCCAGGATGACATTCTTTTTGCCATCTTCTCCAAGGGGCAGAAGCAGTATCACCAGCCTCCTGATGACTCAGCTCTTTGCATTTTCCCCATCCGCACCATCAACACTCAGATCAAGGAGCGCCTGCAATCCTGTTACCAGGGGGAAGGCAACTTGGAACTTAACTGGCTGCTGGGGAAGGATGTCCAGTGCACCAAAGCGGTAAGGATGGTTGTGGAACATTGCCCTTATTGCTCTTGAGAAATCAATCCCACTTCTGACACCATTTGTGTAGGGACATATGGTCTTGGGCTTAAGACCTTGGACTAGAATTTTGTGGTGTTTTAGATGCTGCTTGTAATTATTAGAACTGGGAGCACAGGCTGTTGGGAATTTGGAAGCACAGGAAACAGGAAGGAGGTGGGAGGAGATGGGCCAGGCCTGAGTGAGAGCTACAGAGGAGAGCAGCAGCAGCTTTGTAGAGAGGTTTCACCTTTGGTAAATAAAAGCCTGTTGAAGTTTGTTACTACCTTACTTGCATGATACAACAAATTTGCAGGAACTGGATTCAATTCGAGGCCCTACCCCCAGACTCCCTGAGTAATCTTAGGGAAGTTGCATGATTTTTTTGTGCGCCTTGGTTTCCCCACAAACCAAACTAGGATGATAATCCTTCCTTCCCTTGATTCCCTAGGGCTGTGAGGTGGTGCTGGTGCTGAGGGTCACAGAACCAGCTTGGTAGACAGATAAAAAGTCACAGCTTGTTAGAAACATTTCTGCTATTTCCAGCTGTCCATTCAGATTCCAGACATCAGACTACTTCAAAGCTTGTCTCTTTCAGCCTGCGGCAGGAGAATATAGTGCAAACAAAACTAAGCAGGTGAATGCAAATGCAAGTTGCATATTCTGTGTGTTTACTTTGCTAGCTCAGATCTTGATTGACATACAGATTCCTCCAGAGTCATCCCAATCCCTGGAAATGCCTTTAACCATAATATGTTCAGTTTGGCTTCTGATTCTCTGGTACCAGGGATAGAGGGGGGATTTCAGAGCGACAGGTGAATTGCTAGTGCAGAGGATGGCCGTGGAATGGTGAGTTTTTCACATATATCATGCTGAAATTAATGCAGCCGGTAGGGACTCAGTGGCATTTGGTAGCTATTCAGTGGCTCCTGTGGGGGAGGAGTTATTGAACTGCAATCAAATCCTAGTTGGTATTGTGTCCACACTTCAAACTTGTGGCACTCATTAACATTCCTCATTGAGCAGCTCAGGCAAGGGATCCATGAGCAGTCCTTTGCTGTAATACAGTCTTTCATTTCAGTGGTGGTCTTACCCCCATTTCAAAGAGGGGAAACTGAGGCAAAGTGAGGGGCACAGTGAGTCTCTATCTGGTGATTAGTGGTTTTCAACCTGGGGGGGTCTGAGGAGTGTGCAAAACATTATTACCCTAGAACCGCGGTTTTCGACCTCTGGCCCTCAGGCCCTTGGGGTGTCCACTGACGATGTCTGAGACTTCCAAAGGTGAAATCTCCATTCAACTTTTCTGGGGGGGGGGGTCCTCAAATAAAAAAAGGGTGAGAGCATTGTGCTAGATCATGCTGTCTCGAAAGGAGACTGTTAGGTACTAACAGTGAGGCCGCGGTGTGGGGGGGGTCCCAGCTCTGTGCCCCAGGAAGGGGTGGGGCAGAAAGAGTGGGGCCACGGGCAGTCAGCCCTTAGTCCTGCCCAGACTATGACATGCCTCTCCCTCCCAGCCTTCAGTGTTGCACAGAGTAGCATTCTGGTGCTCCCACAGAACTTGAAAGGGACCTGGAGCTGCTGCAGAGTCAGTGGCTAGAAGCGCTGGACCCCACTGAATCAATGGACCCTGGGGTAGTTTGGCAGGCTTGGGCACTAAACACCCTTTTAGGTCAGATGGGGTATTCCAGGAATAGGATGGGATGAGCAAGGAGTATGGGAATTCTGCATTGCTAGGGTCCATTCCCTATGTGGGGAGGGATGAATACACAGTCCCTCTTCAGAACAGCCAGTCTGGCTGGCACCTTGCACCTGAATCCTGCTCGTGTGGGAAGGGTGAAAACCTGCCCTGAAGTCTATACAGGAGGGAGGTGGCTGCTCCCCTGAAGGCATGAGTAGCAGAGAGGCGGAAATGGCAACTTCCTTTCTCTGATCAGAGGGCAGAGTTGGAGAGCAGACACCTGCCCTTCCTCCAGCTGGTGCTTCTGATCCCAGCACGCCTTGCGCGGGCTCATTAGTGGTGTAAGGCAATAGCTGGCTCCGGCCGTGTGACTCTCTGCTGGCCCGTTTCGCCGATCCTGGGCCGTTTCAGAAAGTGGGGAGGGGGTAGGAAGAATTGCAGCTGAATGTTACGAATGGATCTGACTGTCTGAGGCAATGCGAACATGGCTATCGGAGCGTGTGCATGGGCCAGCACAGCGAGTTTAGAGATGTGTTCCCGGTATGGTCATGTGAGCAAGGCTGGTTCTTTTTTCCCTCCTTGTCCTCCTCCCTCCCACCCCCAGATCAGCCATGCTGCGGAAACTTCATGCTCAGCTCTGGGGGTGTGGGATGGGGAGAAAGGAACTGCTTGGGTTGCTCTGCTGTGACCTCTCTGGTTCATACAGAAGCTTCAAATGGTCTTCAGAGCAAATCTCTTCGAATGGTCTTCAGAGCCTTGAAAAGGCTGCTGGTCTGATGATTATTTCAGAGATGCTAGACTCCGGACAGCCCCTGTTTCTTGACTGGAAAGTTCAGGTGTTCCAGAAATCAGACCAAGACCATTGAGAGGGGAGAGAGTATCAGTATGGGACTCTAATGCACCAGGAGGACAGAATAAGGAGGAGAGAGTCAAGGGAGTCAATGAAACCATTTCCCCTCCGGTTTTCTGTTAGTGACCTTGTGGGATTCTCGCCAATCCCCGGCAGCTAGCGTGCAGTGAAACCACTGTGGCCTATGCCCATGCCAACCCCCCAGCTGCTTTGCCTACAACAATAAGGAGAGAGGTTCCTGTGCTGGGAAGAGGGGCTGACCTCAGCTCACAGGAGGATAAACCTGCTGTATGTAGGTTGTTGTGACCACCCAGCGACGTGCAGGGAAGTTGGGTGTGCTCGCCCCATGGTTGGGACTGTGCGCTCAGTTCTGTATGATCCAGAGGGCTTTGCCTTTGGGCTTGTCTCTCGCTCACCCTTGCCCAATGCCTTGTCTTTTTCCAGCCAGTCCCGATCGACGACAACTTTTGCGGACTGGATATTAACCAGCCCCTGGGCGGCTCCACACCAGTCGAGGGCGTGACCCTCTTCACCACCAACCGCGACCGGATGACCTCGGTCGCTTCGTACGTCTATAACGGCTACAGCGTAGTGTTCGTGGGGACGAAGAGTGGCAAGCTCAAGAAGGTAAGGCTGCCCCTGTGACTCCAGAAAACCTGGGTGAGGGCCATCTCCCTTTCCCCAGCAACACTGATCTGCCAGGTGGCCATCCCCTTTGTACTTCTCCCGAGGCTCTTTCTGAGTAGCCCGTTACGAGGCCATATGAGAGAGCCTGAGGCTTTTATTGAGGAAGGGAATTCAGCAAGTGGATATGTGAAGCAAACTCTGCTGCATCTGAGCTGGTGATGGGGCACCGTTTAATGTAGCCTCCCTCAGAACCCAGAAATGCCAGGTGTTGGACTGGAACAGAGCTTGGAGTCAAGTCCAAGACTGCGGAAAATGTCCTTTCGGGTCCTTGAAGAGAAGTAAGTTAGTCAGACAAGGCAATGTCTTGTCATTTCACCAAGCTGTGGGACTTGAAATCCCTATAAGCCAATAGGAAGTAGCGTGCAGCTGAGTTCTTGTCAGGACTGAGTTCTGCTTCCAGTCAGCCATTCCATTCACCCACAGTTAATATTGGTCTGAGCAGTGTACTGGCTGTCACATACTCTGTACCTGCCACAGGTGTATTGTTGTTTGCAGTGGTGGTGTATCTGTGCTGGCACCAGGATATTAGAGACTGAGGTAATAATTTGAGGTAACAATTTTATAGGACCAATTTCTGTTATAACAAGTTGCTTAAACAGCCCGGGAAACACCTACAGGAAACAGAAAGCCTGGTGACAACACACCCCTGGTTGTCACCTATGACCCCACCCTGGAATTCATATGGGGTGTCATTACGCAGTTACCATTCATACTCAGTGGTGACCACATCCTGAAAGAATTCCTTTCCAAACCCTCCTTTCTGGCTCTCAAACAGTGCCAAATTCATGGTCCAAAGCAAACTCCCCACAGATCGGAACCCACCAAGTCAAAGGTGCCCCAGTCTCTGCCCTCACAGACAGAAAACCCACAGGCACATCTCCATTGCCACAAGGATCCATACCCCCCATAACACATTTTTTTCAAGCTACAGGGGCTCCACATACACCTATCACAACATTGGTATACCTCGTCTGCTGCACTAAATACCCCTCTACTGGGTGGAATGAGCCAAGCACTACACTCTTGAGTGAACTCACACAAGAAATCGCAAAAAGATTTAAAACACCATCTCACCCATGGGCAAACAATTTTCACAGACCAATTGCTCCTTATATGACCTCTCGGTCCTCCTCCTCAGTGAAACCTGCAAAAGACAAGCCTGAGGGAGCTTAAATTCATAACTTTTTAGATAGTAAAAATCAAGGACTCCATGAGAGGGTGGGTTATTGCTCATTATAACGATCTCTAGCCCACTAACCCTCCTTTTTCCTATCCCTGCAGAGGTATTACAGTACCTGCCTCTTAAAACATGTTAACTCCTTATGCTGAACAATCAGTTCCACCTTATATTTCCCTCTGCTACATTGAGGATCTTTTTCTCAGACCCCAAGAACAGTTCTGTGGAGCTCAAAAGCTTGTTTCCTTCACCACTAAAAGATGATCTAATAAAAGATACTGCCTCGCCCGCCTTGTCCAGCAGCAGTGTTGCTAAGGCCACATCTATGTTTACCATGCTGGGGACCCCAGTCAGTACCGGTACTCTTTGCATTTGCGAAGAGTAAGGGAAGTAAATTGCAATTGCTCACGTCGACCTCCCACCGTGGTGACCGCACCAAGCTTGTCTTAAGGTATATTGACTCCAACTAAGTTATTTACATAACTGAAGTTGTGTACCTTAAGCCGACCTTCCATGTCTAGTGTAGACCTGGCCTAAGTCAGTCCAATGTGGCCACTGTAGAATGGATGATTCCTTGTTAGAATCCAATGGGCTTCCAGAACTACTCCAGCACTTACTTGTGCTGTCTGTTGGGAATCAAGGGCTGAGAGGGGATGCTTTTTTCCCTCCTACTTAACACATGACCTGTCTGTGGGAAGGTGCTGCCAGTGTCAGTTTGGCTCTGAAGTGGTTTGGACTGAACCCAGAGAGGAACTGGGTCAGGGCTGCTGCAAGGGAGAACTCGGCAAGTAGTAAATCAGCACAAATAATTTATTCAGTGGGTCCAAACTCTTCTGTTTATGAATCATCTGTGGGCTATGATGGATAATTTTGAATTGATTCATGATCTGCTTGGTCTGTAGATTGTGCATGAGCGTCTCCTTCCACATAGCCAGTGCCCAAAATTCTGTTAGTGCTGCACATGACACGGTTATGAGAGAGTTTCTGCTTCCTGGCTGAATGAAGAGTAATAACTCTTAGATCCCGATTCCCAGGGTGAATATGACCTATATGCTTTTTGAGTGGACCAATTTGCTATTTCCATTAAACTTTCTGTGATCCAAGTAGCTTGCTAGAAGATTACCAGAAAGTGATTGCGACAGGGGCACAAAGGAATTCAATTTTTGGTAGCCCACATAATCACAGAGTGTGTGTTTTTAGGTGCTCACCATCTGTCTACTGGAAGGCCTCGTGCCTACAGCATTTCCATTCATGCCTTTTGAGCGGCACCCATCACAATGAAAAAGCTCCAGGGTTCCAGTGGCCTCAAGATTGTCGTAGCCAAGGCGGTCTCCCAGAATAAGGTCGTCGTGCTTACCACGCTTGCGTACCTAGAATTTGCAGGATGTGCTGATTTGAACCATAGCAGCACTGTGATTGGATGCAGAGGGAGCACACAGCACTCACGGTCAATGTTTGTGCAATCAGCCTGCACCTTTCTTCCCATGCTCTTGCTTGACATGCATGTCCCTTTAGTAATACCCATCTGAAAAAAAAACTTTGCAGATGGAAATCAGTGGAATCTGGCAACCCTGCGCCAGAGCTGGCCCTACCATGAGGCAAACCGAGGTGGCTGCCTCAGGTGCCAGACTGGTGGGGGGAGAGGGGCATTAGGACCCAGAGTATAGAAAGTTGTGTCTGCTGCTGGTGCATATGTAGGTAGCAGAGCAGTACCATGAGAGGAGTAGAACAAGAAGAAGGAAGAATTGAGACCTTTCAAAGTTGGACCCAAGTGAGGGCGTATGGGGGCATCATTTGAGCTCCACGCCTTAGGTACCAAAATGTTGTGGGCCGGCCCTCCCAGTGCGTGGGCAGCAGTAAATAAAATGTCTCACAGGCCTGACATAGAAACCTGATGAGCTGCAGGTTGCGCAACACTGCCCTAGGGATTTCTTATTCCTAACTCCTAGGACTAGTGAGCAAAACAAAGTATGAAGGTAAAGAGAGATCCTTGGCTAGTGTAAATCATCCAACTGACATCAATGGAGCCATGCTGGTTTACTCTTTGACCCAGTGGGATTTGAAACTTTCAACACAACAATCACTGTTGAGCAAATATACAATATGGTGAGGTCTAGTCATGAGTCTCATTCTGGCTTCATCCTAATTGGTGGCCACCAGCTTGAGCCCTGGATTTAGTGTTACTCTCTTGGGGTGCTTGTGTCAATCCGAGTCAGCAGAGATCTCTCATGGTGTGCTTGTTGTATCTCTCTCTCTCTCAGCAGATATTTACAGAAGCTGCCCTGGAGGGAAGACTCTGTTAAGAAATCCAGGAGAGAGCTGAGTGAATTTTTTTTGACAGAAAATTTTTACCAAAAAATGCAGATTTAGTTTGACCAAAACATTTTGCAAATTCCAGTCAGATTTGTCCAGTTGTTTTGGCTAAATAAAGATCTGAAATAATCCGCTTATGTCTTGGATTTGAGAGGACTCCTCAATGCAAACTACATATTGGTTGATTTAATTTAATTATTTTTTAATGCTCAAGAAGCTGAGAGGTGAACATTGTTCCACCCCAATCCGTGCTTTGTAATTATTTTATTTTTCTGTATGGCTGGAAAAAAAAACACCAGTTGCTCACACAGCTCTGCTCCTCCTATCTGCCCTGCTTAGAGGGCAAGAAAATGGCTGATTTATGGTGCAACCGCTTCTTCTGTGTCTTGAAGAGACGTGAATGGGTTAACTTGGCTGCCTTTGGGAAACTAAGCCTCAGGGCAAAGTCATATTACTTCTCTGTGCTGTAGCTTTGCCTCTCACCTCCCACCCTTCCCATGGACCTCTGGGTGATTGATCGGCTGTGCAAGATAAAATTCTTTCCTGTTTGCATCACAAAAGCAGGGTTAGTTGCCCAAGGCAAAGAAATACCCCATGTTCCTTCTCCCTCAAAAGAGCAGGAGGCCTTGCTGTGGTAAAATTATGATTCTGTGATTGAACGGGCCTTCCTCTCTACTTCCTCTGAAACCCTCCTTTTGAAGATGAGGTTGTAAAGCCCATGCTAAGCCTGATACAAATGCTGATAACATGCATTAATCCAGTTCTTCCTGTGGAATGATCCCTAGATTGGTGCCAGTGTTTTTGTTCAGGGCGCAGGTCTGTGCTTGAAACACGGACAGGGGAGCTTCTCACATGAGTGCACTTAATCCACCTCCATGCGAGATGGCCCATCTGTGGACATAGCCAGGGCTGCAGTGAGATTGGTGGGAAGGAGCCTGGTTCTATGCCCGTGGAAGGGGCAGGGCTGAGACCTAGCCAGCCCTTTGGGGCACCTGGAACATGCCAGCCAGGGCTCCGGAGGCAATTTAAAGGTCCCGGGTGCTCCAGCTGCTGCAGCAGTTGGCGGGGCTGGACATAGAGCTGTCTACACTGGGGTTAGGTCGGTTCAACTGCATTGTTTAGGGATGAGGATTTTTCACCGTTCTAGCGATGTAAGTTTACAGTAGAGACCAGTCCTCGGATGTCAGTGCGTTAAACACAGAATGGAAACGGACCTATGGGGTGCATAACAACAGACCTCTTTCTCCTCCTAATTCCTACTCTGGCATTTTGTTGGCCCACAATCAGATGCCCCTTCAGTCCTCCACTGCACAACTGTTCAACCCTGGCATTATCAGGGGATACATGAAAATCGTCACTCAAATATGTTAGACAGGGAAAGTAGTGTTTCTGCTGCAATGTCATTATTTGTTTTCATTTGTATTTCGCTTGCCCTAGGAACCACAGTCAG